CTCCATCCACGCCGCTGCCAGGCGTAGGTCCCTCCAACTTGTCGCTATCTGTCGCCAGTACTTTGCTTCTTGTTCCTCTTACCACCGATATAGTTCTAATGCTACACATTTAGAATCACTTCTTCACTATCCTATTCACTATTTGTTATGATCTTCACTATCACATCTAGTTGTGTACACTCTGACCATGCAGTGGCCCACGTGCTTGCCCTGGCACTGATGTCGTACCCCTGAACTTGTCTAATATGAACTATCGGACACAATTCATAAATTTGCTAGTTTCTAATTGGTGTGTTGCACTTTGTATTATCACTGAACACCGAATTTCCCTCGTATCCCTCTGATGCCCTGAAGTATGAAGCCTTATTGACGAGCGCGGCGCAACGTGTTCACCCTCCCCCGACCCTCGAGATTGTGATCATGCTTGTCCAGCGTGGCAAGCTTGAGCTGTGAGAGCTTGGCAAGCTTGAGTTGTGAGAGCCTGGCAAGCTTGAGCTGTGAGAGCGTGGCAAGCTTGAGCTGTGAGAGCCTGGCAAGCTTGAGTTGTGAGAGCCTGGCAAGCTTGAGCTGTGAGAGCGTGGCAAGCTTGAGCTGTGAGAGCCTGGCAAGCTTGAGCTGTGAGAGCCTGGCAAGCTTGAGCTGTGAGAGCCTGGCAAGCTTGAGCTGTGAGAGCCTGGCAAGCTTGAGCTGTGAGAGCCTGGCAAGCATGAGCTGTGAGAGAGTGGCAAGCTTGAGCTGTGAGAGCTTGGCAAGCTTGAGCTGTGAGAGAGTGGCAAGCATGAGCTGTGAGAGCCTGGCAAGCATGAGCTGTGAGAGAGTGGCAAGCTTGAGATGTGAGAGCTTGGCAAGGTTGACCTGTGAGAGCGTGACATGCTTGAGGTGTGAGAGCGTAGCAATCATGAGCTATGAGAGTGTGGCAAGCTTGAGCTGTGAGAGCTTGGCAAGCATGAGATGTGAGAGCCTGACAAGCTTGAGATATGAGAGCCTGGCAAGCTTGAGCTGTGAGAGCCTGGCAAGCATGAGTTGTGAGAGCCTGGCAAGCTTGAGCTGTGAGAGCTTGGCAAGGTTGACCTGTGAGAACCTGGCAAGCTTGAGATGTGAGAACCTGGCAAGCTTGAGATGTGAGAGCCTGGCAAGCGTGAGCTGTGAGAGCCTGGCAAGCTTGAGATGTGAGAGCCTGGCAAGCTTGAGATGTGAGAGCTTGGCAAGCTTGAGATGTGAGAGCCTGGCAAGCTTGAGATGTGAGAGCTTGGCAAGCTTGAGATGTGAGAGCTTGGCAAGCATGAGATGTGAGAGCTTGGCAAGCATGAGATGTGAGAGCTTGGCAACCTTGACCTGTGTGAGCGTGGCAAGTTCCTCAGACACTCCTGGTGTTGCCTCAGACACTCCTGGTGTTGTCTCAGACACTCCAGGTGTTGTCTCAGACACTCCTGGTGTTGTCTCAGACACTCCAGGTGTTGTCTCAGACACTCCAGGTGTTGTCTCAGACACTCCTGGTGTTGTCTCAGACACTCCTGGTGTTGTCTCAGACACTCCAGGTGTTGTCTCAGACACTCCTAGTGTTGTCTCATACACTCCAGGTGTTGCCTCAGACACTCCTGGTGTTGCCTCAGACACTCCAGGTGTTGTCTCAGGCACTCCAGGTGTTGTCTCAGACACTCCAGGTGTTGTCTCAGACACTCCAGGTGTTGTCTCAGACACTCCATGTGTTGTCTCAGACACTCCTGGTGTTGTCTCAGACACTCCAGGTGTTGTCTCAGACACTCCAGGTGTTGTCTCAGACACTCCAGGTGTTGTCTCAGACACTCCAGGTGTTGTCTCAGACACTCCAGGTGTTGTCTCAGACACTCCTGGTGTTGTCTCAGACACTCCTGGTGTTGTCTCAGACACTCCAGGTGTTGTCTCAGACACTCCTGGTGTTGTCTTAGACACTCCAGGTGTTGTCTCAGACACTCCAGGTGTTGCCTCAGACACTCCAGGTGTTGCCTCAGACACTCCAGGTGTTGTCTCAGACACTCCAGGTGTTGCCTCAGACACTCCTGGTGTTGTCTCAGACACTCCAGGTGTTGTCTCAGACACTCCTGGTGTTGTCTCAGACACTCCTGGTGATGTCTCAGACACTCCAGGTGTTGTCTCAGACACTCCAGGTGTTGTCTCAGACACTCATGGTGTTGTCTCAGACACTCCTGGTGTTGTCTCAGACACTCCTGGTGATGTCTCAGACACTCCAGGTGTTGTCTCAGACACTCCAGGTGTTGTCTCAGACACTCCAGGTGTTGTCTCAGACACTCCTGGTGTTGTCTCAGACACTCCAGGTGTTGTCTCAGACACTCCTGGTGTTGTCTCAGACACTCCTGGTGTTGTCTCAGACACTCCATGTGTTGCCTCAGACACTCCTGGTGTTGTCTCAGACACTCCAGGTGTTGTCTCAGACACTCCTGGTGTTGTCTCAGACACTCCAGGTGTTGTCTCAGACACTCCTGGTGTTGTCTCAGACACCCCAGGTGTTGTCTCAGACACTCCAGGTGTTGTCTCAGACACTCCTGGTGTTGTCTCAGACACTCCAGGTGTTGCCTCAGACACTCCAGGTGTTGTCTCAGACACTCCTGGTGTTGTCTCAGACACTCCTGGTGTTGTCTCAGACACTCCAGGTGTTGTCTCAGACACTCCAGGTGTTGTCTCAGACACTCCAGGTGTTGCCTCAGACACTCCAGGTGTTGTCTCAGACACTCCAGGTGTTGCCTCAGACACTCCTGGTGTTGTCTCAGACACTCCAGGTGTTGCTTCAGACACTCCAGGTGTTGTCTCAGACACTCCAGGTGTTGTCTCAGACACTCCTGGTGTTGCCTCAGACACTCCTGGTGTTGCCTCAGACACTCTTGGTGTTGCCTCAGACACTCCTGGTGTTGTCTCAGACACTCCAGGTGTTGCCTCAGACACTCCAGGTGTTGTCTCAGACACTCCAGGTGTTGTCTCAGACACTCCAGGTGTTGCCTCAGACACTCCAGGTGTTGTCTCAGACACTCCAGGTGTTGCCTCAGACACTCCTGGTGTTGTTTCAGACACTCCAGGTGTTGCTTCAGACACTCCAGGTGTTGTCTCAGACACTCCAGGTGTTGTCTCAGACACTCCTGGTGTTGCCTCAGACACTCCTGGTGTTGCCTCAGACACTCTTGGTGTTGCCTCAGACACTCCTGGTGTTGTCTCAGACACTCCAGGTGTTGCCTCAGACACTCCAGGTGTTGTCTCAGACACTCCAGGTGTTGCCTCAGACACTCCTGGTGTTGTCTCAGACACTCCAGGTGTTGCCTCAGACACTCCAGGTGTTGTCTCAGACACTCCAGGTGTTGCCTCAGACACTCCTGGTGTTGTCTCAGACACTCCAGGTGTTGCCTCAGACACTCCAGGTGTTGTCTCAGACACTCCTGGTGTTGCCTCAGACACTCCTGGTGTTGTCTCAGACACTCCAGGTGTTGCCTCAGACACTCCAGGTGTTGTCTCAGACACTCCAGGTGTTGTCTCAGACACTCCTGGTGTTGCCTCAGACACTCCTGGTGTTGTCTCAGACACTCCTGGTGTTGCCTCAGACACTCCTGGTGTTGTCTCAGACACTCCAGGTGTTGTCTCAGACACTCCAGGTGTTGTCTCAGACTCTTCTAGTGTTGCCTCAGACACTCCTGGTGTTGCCTCAGACACTCCTGGTGTTGTCTCAGACACTCCTGGTGATGTCTCAGACACTCCTGGTGATGTCTCAGACACTCCAGGTGTTGTCTCAGACACTCCTGGTGATGTCTCAGACACTCCTGGTGATGTCTCAAACACTCCAGGTGTTGTCTCAGACACTCCTGGTGATGTCTCAGACACTCCTGGTGATGTCTCAAACACTCCAGGTGTTGTCTCAGACACTCCTGGTGATGTCTCAGACACTCCTGGTGATGTCTCAGACACTCCAGGTGTTGTCTCAGACACTCCTGGTGTTGCCTCAGACACTCCTGGTGTTGTCTCAGACACTCCTGGTGTTGCCTCAGACACTCCTGGTGTTGCCTCAGACACTCCTGGTGTTGTCTCAGACACTCCAGGTGTTGTCTCAGACACTTCTAGTGTTGCCTCAGACACTCCTGGTGATGTCTCAGACACTCCAGGTGTTGTCTCAGACACTTCTAGTGTTGTCTCAAACACTCCTGGTGATGTCTCAGACACTCCAGGTGTTGTCTCAGACACTTCTAGTGTTGTCTCAAACACTCCAGGTGTTGTCTCAGACACTCCTGGTGTTGCCTCAGACACTCCTGGTGTTGTCTTAGACACTCCTGGTGTTGCCTCAGACACTCCTGGTGTTGCCTCAGACACTCCTGGTGTTGTCTCAGACACTCCAGGTGTTGTCTCAGACACTCCAGGTGTTGTCTCAGACACTCCAGGTGTTGTCTCAGACACTCCAGGTGTTGCCTCAGACACTCCTGGTGTTGTCTCAGACACTCCAGGTGTTGTCTCAGACACTTCTAGTGTTGCCTCAGACACTCCTGGTGATGTCTCAGACACTCCTGGTGATGTCTCAGACACTCCAGGTGTTGCCTCAGACACTCCTGGTGTTGCCTCAGACACTCCTGGTGTTGTCTCAGACACTCCAGGTGTTGTCTCAGACACTTCTAGTGTTGCCTCAGACACTCCTGGTGATGTCTCAGACACTCCTGGTGATGTCTCAGACACTCCAGGTGTTGCCTCAGACACTCCAGGTGTTGTCTCAGACACTTCTAGTGTTGCCTCAGACACTCCTGGTGATGTCTCAGACACTCCTGGTGATGTCTCAGACACTCCAGGTGTTGCCTCAGACACTCCAGGTGTTGTCTCAGACACTCCTGGTGTTGTCTCAGACACTCCAGGTGTTGTCTCAGACACTCCTGGTGTTGTCTCAGACACTCCAGGTGTTGTCTCAGACACTTCTAGTGTTGCCTCAGACACTCCTGGTGATGTCTCAGACACTCCTGGTGATGTCTCAGACACTCCAGGTGTTGTCTCAGACAAGGGACCAGCTCTACTGTTCTTGTGTAGTGAACCACCATCAACTGATTACTGGCTAGGTAGTGATATGATTCAACTGTCTCTGATGAGACAGAAGATGACGGACTGATGAGCCCAACCGTGTCCGTGTTGTAGTGGTAAGACACTCGCCTGGCGTTCCGCGAGCGGTTTGTCATGGGTTCATATCCTGGCCGGGGAGGATTTACTGGGCGTAAATCCTTAACTGTAGCCTCTGTTTAACTCAACAGTAAAATGGGTTCTTGGTTGTAAACACAATTCTTCGTGGGGGTCGTATTCCAGGGACTCTCCCGAGACGCTACGCGTACTAGTTACTGTACAAGAACGTAACAACTATTGTATATATCTCAGAAAAAAACTGTGTTTATAGGAGATAAACTAATAACTTGAGTGTTATGAGATAGTTATACTTATCGCTTTAATCGTATCATCATGTAACTTCCCACAACAGCTTACTGTGTACAAAATAGTGAAGCTCTGATCTCTAATATCTTCCAGGTTGTGAACCCGCTCAACTCTGACGGCGCTGCCTTGATGGAGGTGAGCATGGTTGAGCTGGACGCCTTCGACCCTTGCGTGTTGCAGGAGCATGTTGATAGACAGTTCTTCCTTGCATTCAACTTCAACGCGATCAACAACACCTTGTTGTACAGACCTGATCACTACCCCTACAATGCTGGTATGCTTTGGAACTATTCAGTACAGTTAAACTAATAAAGTTCATTGGCTGGTTATATATATATATATATATATATATATATATATATATATATATATATATATATATATATATATATATATATATATATATATGGATGTGGTTTTCACGCTAGGAAATGATAATTCTTACATGAATATTATGTTCA